TTATATCATCCACATAAACTAAAATAGCTACAAAGGAGTCTCGAGTGCATCTAACAAATAGGTTGTAATCAGCCTTAAACTAAGTGAAACCATGTTGGACGATGAAAGTGGATAACTTTGAATACCATTATCTTGAAGCTTGTTTGAGTCCATACAAGCTTTTGCGAAGTTTGCATACCTTTGATCTATAGGCATTGTCATAACCTGGGGGCAACTCCATATACATTTCTTCGTCCAAATCGCCATGTAAAAAGGTATTGTTTACATCCAATTGGTAAAGAAACCAACCCTTCACAGCTGCCGCAGCAAGTAAGGTTCTGACAGTGATAAGTTTTTCCATTGGTGAGAAGGTTTTGTGATAATCTAAACCTTCTTGTTAGGTATATCCTTTTGCCACTAACCTGGCTTTGTGTCTCATCACGCTTCCATCAACATTAAACTTTATTTTGCAAACCCATTTATGGCCTATTGCCTTCTTATCAAAAGGCAGATCAACTACAACCCATGTATCATTCAACTCAAGAGCTTGATCTCACTTTCCATAACCTTACACCATTCAGGGAGTTTGATAGCCTCTTGGTACGTTTTTGGCTCAATTAGTGAGGTTATGGAAGTGGTGAAAATTTTATGAGGTTAACATAGATTTTCATATGACATAGTAGAATTAAGAGGATAGGGACTACCTGAGGGAATAGGATCTCCCTTTTTGTTCAATTCCTGTAATGGGGGAAGCAAACTAGCCTGCTGACATACAAAATCCTAGAGTTTTTGGGGAGCTCTTCGAACTCTAGTGGACCTTCTAGGCAAATGATGTATAACTTGATTATTATCTGGTGAAATGTTATTGTGAGGCTAGATCAATTTGAGGTTCATTAGTCTGAATTTGTTCTATGAGTTCAACAGGGTTGGGAGATTCCTCATATGGGTTCTCTTCTCCATTGTAGAGGTCAATTGGGATCGAAATGACTGGGTTTTGAGGGAAGCATAAATCAGTAGGCTCTGGTGGGATGTGTATATCTGTGATTTTAGTTTCTTTGTATGGAAAGATAGTTTCATGAAATATGACATTTCTTGATATAAAACTTTCTTTGTATCTAAATCGAGCAATTTGTACCCTTTGATACTGAATGGATAACATAGAAAGATGCATCTCCTAGCTCTAGAATCAAACTTGTGTCTGCCATTCAAAAGTCTTGTGGCATAAGCAAGGCATCCAAAGACCTTCAAATGAGAGTATGCAGGTTTGTTTTGAAATAATATTTCAAATGGGCTCTTATGGCTTAGGAGTGTCGAGGGAGTCCTGCTGATTAAATTGACAGAAATCAAGACACAGTGACTCCAATATTTTAATGGGATACCACTCTGAAATCTTAGGGCTCTTGCAATGTTTAGTATATGCTGATGTTTCCTCTCAACATTGGCGTTTTCTAGAGGGGTTTCAACACAAGATTTCTGATGAATGATTCCCTTTTCAAGATAAAATTATTTCATGTTAAATTATGCTCCATTATCACTTCTGATAATCTTGATTTTGCTTTGAAATTTCGTTTCTATCAGTTTGTAAAAACTTTGCAAAGCATTGGTAGCTTCTGATTTTAACTTCAGCATGTAAACCTAGGTACACCTACTAAATTCATCTACTATGTTAAGAAATAACATGATCCATCATAACTAATCTCATTGCAAGGTCCCCAGATATCACGGTGTATTAAATCAAAACATTTCTCAGACTTTTACTGACTAACAGGAAAAGGAAACCTATGTAATTTAGCTAAGGGCCATACAAAATAAAGGTTATTTTGTGAAGCTGGCTTAGGTATGGCATCTTTAAAAGCAAGTGTAGAATATGATGAATGTCCCATTCTGTAGAGCCAAATGTCAAACTCATTTTTACGATTGACAACAGAGGCTGCAAGGGTAGAGATGCTGGTTAGATGATTCAAGGTTTCCTGAAGGGCCATAGGTGAGGTTATTGAAGATAGGACTTGATAGAGGCCAGATTTTACTTCACCCATTCCAGTTGTTGTCCAAGTCGAAAGGTCCCGTATAAAATAGACATTAGGGAGAAAAATAACACAGCTGTTCAGTTCCTGAGTGAGTTTCTTAACGGATATAAGATTGTAGGAACACATAGCACATCCTTAAGGTTTAATTTATCTGTGATACGTGCAGTCCCAATACAAGTTACTGAGGCAGTGGTTCCATTAGGAAGGCTTACTCAATCCCAATACAAGTTACTGAGGCAGTGGTTCCATTGGGAAGGCTTACTAAGTAATTCATTTTGGATTTGATAGAGGAGATAGATGAAGGGCTACATATCATATGATCTGTTGCCCCTGTGTCCAAAACCCAAGGAGCTTCAGATTTGTTAGTTTTTACAAAATTGAAACTAGATGAGCAGAGTGATATACCAGAAATCTTTGGAAGAATATTGTCTGATTCAGAGGTAATAGTGCTTTGAACCTGATTTGCTAAAGGGGCTACGTTCTAATTAGTTGATAATTTGAGAAAAGCCATCAAATGAGAGTATTCCTCTTAAGTGAGGGACACATTTGCCTTGTTAATCTATTGCTTCTAATTCATAGAAGCCCGATTTGTTGCTGGTGCGAACCTGTCTCTTCCTTCAAACTTGTGACCAAGTGGATTACCATGCAGCTTGAAACATTTGCTTGATGTGTGGCCTGGCATCTTACAATGAGAGCATATAAGCTTATTTGGATCCTTCAGACATCTTTCAAGTGAGTGACCTGTTACTTTGCAAAAAGTGCAATAGTATCTGTCTCTTCTCTGTGGAAAGGATTCTGCTTGCCATTATCTTCAAAATTTCCTCTAGCCATCAATGCTATTATCTCATTGATTAATCCATCACTCGAGATCTGCCTCCTTCTCTCTTCTTGCTGAATTACAGCATATAATTACAGCATACACTTCATTCAAGGAAGGGAATGACTTATTCAAAAGAACATGTGCCTTAATGGCTTTGTAAGACTCATCTAACCCCATTATGAACTTCATTACCTAGTCACGATTCTGATTTTCAACTACAGTTTTCAAACCTCCACACGTGCAATTGGGAACTGATTCATAGTTCATCAGTTCATCAAGTAGAGTTTTGAATTTTGAAAAATACACACTTACAACATCTTGGTTTTATGACAAAGCTATGATAGCCTACTTGATCTTAAAAATTATGGGTGCATTCTGTTGTGCAAAACGCTGCTCCAACTCCTGCCATTAACTGATAGGCTGTTTTAGCATATGTAGTGTTGCACTTGATATCCACTGCCATAGTGTTTTGAAGCCAAGCGATTACATTGTCATTGCACCGGAGCCAATTCTCCATCAGTGGGTCATTGGGCTCTTAAGGCTCTTGGATGCGTCCATCTATAAATCCCAGCTTGTTCTTTATCCGAGAGCCCTCTTTATCGATCTGGCCCAAGAGTGATAGTTGTTTGCATCAAGAATATGCGTGACAAGAATAGATCCAGTAGCATCATTGCTCCCAATGTAATATGGGCTGCTGAAGTGTGGGATCATAGATTGTCGAGTTGTCATTTTGGTTTTGATTAGTATTTTGTGGAACATTTGATGATTGATTATCTGTTTCAGCCATTAGGCTTTGATACCATGTAAATTCTGGAATAAAAAGCTCAAAAGGAAATAAAATCGGCTATGAAGAACTTCTTGAATTCAATTGAATTAATTTACAAGATTTACAGGACACATACATATATACACCTTAAGTAAGGAAAAGGACAAAATCAGTTACAAAATGTAGAAAAGAATCTCTTCCTAACAACCACCATGTGCACTACAAACGGATCATTGAGCATTTAGTCTTCTAGGACCTTCCATTGTACAATCAGCAATGCGAGCTGATGATGCTAAACGATCTGATTAAGCTGGATGGATGACTAGGCTGCCAACTCATTTCCTTAGTTCCTCATTATCTTGAGCTCGTGCTTTATCTTCCAATAGTTTGTCCATTTATTGTTCTTTCGTTGTGATTTCTGGTCACCTTATTTTCCTCTTTTGTACAATAAAATTGGTATTGAGGGCATTTTGGTCTATATTATAGTGAAATGGACATTGAAGAAAGTTTGGATATTTTTGCAAATGACTATGTAAAAGTCAACATTTTTTGCAATTTCCTCTTTTGGTTATTTAACTATCAGGAAGCTTCTGCTGCAATTAAAGATGTGCTGTAATTGATGAATGTCTGGGTTCAGGGGGCAGTGCCAAAGAAGGGTAAAGCTGCAGGAGGAAAGCCACCTAAGAAATTTAAAAGGAAGCCTCAAGTTACAAAGAAAAGCAAAACCAAGAAATGAGATACGATTGTCTATCAAAGTATTTTCTTTTATTTAATTCTAGCATATGCATTTGTCATCAATCAATGCTGATAGAAAAAACTCTACAGTCGACAGGGAAGATCAGTAGACCCTACACTATTTGCATTCCTGCAAAATTGAACTTTAATGAAACAGAAACCGTTAGTGTTCCTGACTCCCTTTCCCATGTCATAAATTGTAGTCTTATAGATCCTAATAGCATCTCTTCTTTTCAATTCTTTGGAGTTATCCAATGACTGATGATAATTTACACAAATCTTTTGTACCATCTGCTTCTTCTTCTTTTTTTTTTAATTTTTTCCTCCTGTGACCAGTTGTGGGAACTTAATTCACTTGTCCATTGCCTTATATCTCAAAATGCATTTATCTTATTTTATCATGTGGAATTGTAATGGTCAATGGTGACAATTTAGTGTTTATTGCAAAAACTGAAATGTTAAATAAACCATATATCATTTAAGATTATGCTTGTATTCTTTCTACAGAATTAATGTGTCTTGCACTGCGAAATTGATCGATTTTCTGGTGGTTCTTGATACTGAATGATGATACTTCTTCCTGCTTCTCTTGATCCCTTGTGTTCTCCTGGTCTAATGCATTGGTATTTCATGCTGTGCCTTTACAACATGACTCTTGATGTATCTGTTATGTCTAGAAATACATAGTGAGGATAAGAAGAAACAGTGAGATTGGGAAAGGTAGGAGGGTTGCTGAAGATGAAACTGTTGCTGCAGTTTTTCTATTGCATTCTTCAATTGGTAAAGCTGTTGGTGCATCATTCTTTCCCTTCATCCTGCATTACATATGTAGGCCCTTTTATTGATGGAAGAAGGATCGTACATTTTAGGTGCACATGTGAATGTATTATAGGTTGTATCATTTATTTATATCTGCAAGGAAAGAAGAAAAAAAGATTGAAACATGTGATGTTACCCATTGGGACAAAAAATGATGGCATATTCATAGGCCTGGCATGTGAAAGTGCTGGTTCTATCATCAAATGCATAGCTATAGGCTGTCGGACATGCTCTCTTAAATATGTTTGAATAGAAGGATGGCCGGCAAGTTGATGGATTGGCAAATTCTCCGCTGCAGCAATACTGTTCTAGTCCGAATTCCTCACAAGCGCTTTTGCACCCAACCACTCTCCCTTCACCTTCATCACTACCAATCACCTGAAGTTCTTTTGGACAGCCTGTTTGATTTAATACATTGGTTACTGTGTATTTTGAAGATGGACTGGACTATTTAATAAACCGATTGTCACAGTATGATGCTGAGAAAAGATCATACCCATGTTGACATCTGCAGTGCAGCCTGTGACATTGCAGCCACTGTGGACTCCTCTTGGCTCTGCGACTAGTGGCAGGTTGTAACCATCCACAATGCTGACATCGTAAAAATCTTTCTCATCTGCAACTCCAACAGTAATCTCAAAATGTGATGCTGGTGGGCTGGCTCCAATCCCATCACATTCCAATCTCCCTCCACAATCTCCTGTCTGGCAGGAGCCAATGCCAGATGCATCAAATGTGCAACCGGTTCTTGCCCAAATCCGACCTGACCATCCTGGAATGCTAGGAATCCTGAGACTTTGGCCAGAATCCAGTTGAAACCCTGTGGTTGGAAGTTGTTGTCCTGAACCAGCTAGCGTGCCAGGCCATATTTTATAGGGGCAGTAGTTGGTGATGGTAAATGTGCGGGCAAAAGAGCAAGTAAACAAGGAAATGACAATATATGAAATAGGGAATTTCCAAGATGCCATGAGTAGGGAAAAACTAGCCTGAACCATTTTTGTAACTAGTAAAATTCCATAAGGTTACTTTGACATTTCAAAGCAACATTCAACTGCTGCAAGATTGCAGTTTAGGGTTTCGCATTTCTTTAATGCGGATGGCCTCAACGAGAGGCAATTCTTTTCTTTATCACCTAAATGATTATTAAACACCTGCAAACAGAATCAGAATTACTTAAACTATCTTGGAATCGAATCAATGCAATACAAAAGGAGTACCCTACGAAAAGGCTTCCTAGATCCCCAGTAAAACTATACCAACATCATAAAGGAGTAAGATATTTTAATGAACGTGGAAGTGTCTGTCTTCAAGAACAAGATAGGTATTGCTCCCATTGTCCTCGTTTTATCTAGGATATGCCTCAAAAGCATCTAGTATCGTATGAATCACACCTATGTAGCAGATTGAACAATATATGTGTTATGAATTGATTGCAAGATAATGGCAATAATAAAATAAATAAGAACACCAAAATTTATGTGGAAACCCAAGATGGAAAAAACCATTGGTAGAGGAGGAGAATTTCACTATAATCAATAATGAATGTATTTACAAAATTTAAGTTCTCAATACTTTTAATTGAAATCTAAACTCTTTAACTCTCAAGATGTTGTTGAATATGTATATTGAGATACAACAATGTAAAATATATACATGAGCTTCCTTTTGAAGTTCTAGATGAAGAAGAAACACAAAATCAGGAAAAATGGGGATGAACCCGGCGCTGCCCCTTTTTTCTTCATGGGCGTTGTGGCACTACGCCACAGTGCTAACTTTCGGTAATCATGCCTCCAAAGTATTTTTCTTCAATTTAAAGTCCTTTTTCCAAGTTAAATTCTCAATTCTTGATGAAATTTGATTTTTATCAATTAGAACGCTCAAAACCAAAAGTCCTTATACTTTTTTTATTCAACCAAACACCAAATCACGTAGAATTTAGATCACACCACAACAAATCTCCATCTTAAATTAAATTCCAATAGAAGGAATTCAAAAATACATCTCCAAGTAAACACCACTCGTCCTCTTCCGAACAAGTCTCAATGGGAAAAATCAATGACGACTCTTTTATAACTATAATTTTGTTTAAAAATTGTCAATAACTTTAAAACCTAACAAATTTCCCATTCGACATTCTGTGACAAAAACATGTAGTACAAATCAAAGACAATCAAACTTACCCAAAATCAAGTAACTCAACTGTAGCTTGTTTTTTCCTTGTCATCATCAAGAGTAGAGAATAAGGCTTTATTTCAACACGTGTCTAAAACATTCACTATTAATATACCACATAGAGTCATTTTTAGCTTTAAGAGCAACATGGGCAACATAGAAATTCAAGTTCATCATACCTAGGGAGATAGCTTTTCTTAACCTAAATCTTCTTAGAAATAGAGGTAATCCTAACCAACTGTGTCATCATCTCAGTTACGTGGCTAACCTGATTCTTTAGGAAGTTAACCTTGCTAGAGATATCCCGACTCCTGCTCCTATTCACAATTTTATGATACCTAGGCCTTATGTGTCCTAGTATACCATAATTGTAACACGTAGGAATATACCTAGGTTCAAAACTAAGTGATTGCTAATATTGGTTCTGGGTAGGTTGGTCTTAGGTTGCCTAATAGGCCTCTGTCTCAAGACACCCTTAGGTTTACGATAAGCAACATTCCTAGGTTGGTTGGTGGCTGGGACAAAAATGGTCTTGGATATACTAGCAATATTATTATCAGTAGGAATATATGCTAGATCTTGCCTATTTCCAGTGGCTTGTTTATCCCTAATAGATTATCAAGTTTATGAGAACCATTCAAAAAGGAATGGAGCTGAGTATTGAACTTATCAAGGTCGCTTGTTAAAGTTTTAACCTTAGCCTCTAAATTCTCATTAACAAGTCTTAACTTATTGACAGAGTGTGGATAGAGAGAGAAAAGAAGGGAGGATATCGGCAGCCTATTGTATACGATAAGGTTCCAAACTTTTGCTTTCTATGTAGACACTTTGGACATTCTAATGAGAGCTGTTCTAGTGGTCTCCATACTGTACCACCTTTTGTGGTTGATCAGACTTCTAGGTCTGTTTAGGCTAAGGATAAAGATAAAGTGAATGAGCTTGTGACTGTGCCTCGCTAGAGATGGACGCCGGTTAAGCGTAATCAGAAGAGACAAGACAATACATCAGATGTGATTTCTCATTCTACTCCTCAGAGTGTTACCACTAGTGCTCCTACTATCACCGTCGCTACAGTTACTACATCATAGACAGCTACTAGTCATATGGCTCCTAGCCTATATACTGCTCCACCCGTTATTAGCAATATTGCTCCACAGTTTACGACCTCTCTACCATCAGATCATTCTACAGTTGCTCCCATTAGGGTGGATACTCAGATTTCTCTTGTTATTATATCAGCTCCTCATTTAGCAGTGCAGTCTTCGGACCCCATCAGCAATGCTCCTATGATGGTTAGTTCTACATATTTTGATTTTCTCTTAGTAGATATGTTAGAGAGACCACAAGGTTATATAGAACCAGATATTCATCTTATCTTTACACCTTGTCGGCAGAATATGGAGGCTTTTTTATCTTCAAATCAGTCATATTCTGATTTTTTCTCATATTGAAGTTCATCAACAGGGTTCATATCGTCGATCTTCTACTAATGACTTGGCAGGTATGGCTAGTAGGATAGGTGAGGATGGTTTTGTCCCAATTGGTCGGAAAAGAAATTCAAAAGCCACTTATACTTCATTTCCTAGGATGTGACCAGGAGTCGGTCACAGGATACCTCTTCACACACATCCAGATGAGTACCACCATATGGAATGCAAGAGGTGTAGCTAGTGTAGCTACTCGTCTGCGCCTGAAGAGACTTATACAGCTTCATCAGGTTTATCTTTTGGTTATTCTGGAGCCTTTTGTCCTTCGTCATAGATTTACATACATTCGACGATATCTATGCTTTGATACAAGAGTTCGGAATGAGTCGAACAAGATCTGGTTTCTAGGACTACTGTTACTGTTATTGTTGATCATCCCAATTCCTTTACGTTACAGTTGAGGATCTCAGACTAGCGCGTCCTATCTATCTGACTTCTGTCTATGCTTCATGTGACGTAGCTATCAGGAGGGATTTGTGGGAGGGTCTTCACCATATTTCCCTCAATATGGACGACCCTTGGTTAGTTAGAGGAGACTTTAGCGTTATTACACATGATGGTGAGCGCACTGGTCATAATACTCGTGATCAAAGCACTACTGCTTTCTCTGATTTGATGTTAGATTATGGTGTGGAGGATGCCGATTTCCTTGGGAGTCGGTATACTTGGTCCAACGGTCGAGTCAGAAAGAGACTGGATAGGGTACTCATTAATTCTACAGCTGCAGCATTCTGTCCACAGCTTACAGTGAGGCATTTGAATCGGACTTCATCTAAGCATTCGCCTTTATTACTTCAGTTGGTTTCTGATTATGATTTGGGGTCTAGAACTTTCAAATTTCTCAACATTTGGACCAATCATCATGATTTTCCATCTTTTGTTGCTCAGAAGTGGTCGCTGCCTACTCATCTTACGGGGATGGCTGCTCTTGGGAGAAATTCTTTAGGCTGAAACAAGGACTATGTTGGTGGAATCGACATATGTTTGGAGATGTTTTCCAACGAGTACGAGATGCTGAGGTAGGGTGAATGAGGTAGAGACAATATATGGTAGAGACCCTACATCGGAACATCGTGACCTATTACATCATGCCCAGGCAAATTTGAACCGGATCTTATCTATTGAGGAGGGTTTTTGGAAGCAAAAGGTCGGTTCACGATGGGTATGTGAAGGTAATCACAATACTCGTTATTTCTATGCAATAGTTCTGGGAGTCAGATCAAATCACATATTAGGTCCATCAGAACACAGGCAGGAGAAGTCATAGATACTCCTGCTAACATTCAGACTTCAGCCATTACATTCTATCAGGACCTTCTATCTATTCATACACAGCCAATGGATCCCATTCGTTTTGATATCATTCCCAGGCTTTTGACGGAGGATATAATTTGGCACTAAACTACATCCCTTTGATTAATGAGATACATGAGGCAGTGTTTGATATAGATGCTGACAGTGCTGCTGGACCGGATGGATTCTCATCCTTATTCTTGTAGCATTGCTGGAGCATTATTCAGGACGATGTATGCAGTGTAGTCTTGGACTTCTTTGGCAACAGTCATCATCCACAGGGTTTTGCTGCTACTACTATAGTATTGTTTCCTAAGAGGGACGATGCTTGTAGATGGACCGACTTTTGACCCATTAGTTTATGTACAGTGTTCAATAAGCTTATTACTAAGCTTTTGAAAACTAGATTGAGTACACCGTTACAGGGCATTATCTCTCCTCAACAGAGTGGGTTCATACCTGGTTGCCTAATTGGGGACAATGTTCTTTTGGTTTAGGGGCTTCTCCATACTTTGGATGATAGAGTGCAAGGGGATAACACTATGCTGAAACTAGACATGGCTAAAGCATATGATCACATGGATTGGGAATTTATTTATTCTATAATAGAGGCCTTTGGAATTGATCAGATCTCGATTGATAGGATCAACCGGTGCATCTTGGAATGTCATATTTATGTATTCCTAAATGGCCACCCATGTGGTTTTTTCCCTCCTCACGAGGGCTCAGACAGGGATATCCTATCTCGTCATCCCTGTTCGTCGTAGCTGTAGACTACTTTTCATGCCTACTCACTCGGAGGTTCCAGGAGTATCCCAGTATGTGTTATCGACATGGAGGTAATACTTTTGTCTCACACCTTTCATTTGCTGATGATATGATCATATTCGCCAACGGTCAGAAACAGTCTATCATGAGGATTCTGAGTTGTCTGGAACATTATGAGGGAATTCCTGGTCAGTTGGTAAATAGGGATAAGAATAAACTCATACTACCCAAACGGGCATCTACTAGTCAGATCAAGCGATTGGAGATTTTTACTG